CCCCATTCTCTGTTGTCCACACTCAGACACCCCCATTCTCTGTTGTCCACACTCAGACACCCCCATTCTCTGTTGTATACATCAGACACCCCCATTCTCTGTTGTATACATCAGACACCCCCATTCTCTGTTGTCCACACTCAGACACCCCCATTCTCTGTTGTCCACACTCAGACACCCCCATTCTCTGTTGTATACATCAGACACCCCCATTCTCTGTTGTCCACACTCAGACACCCCCATTCTCTGTTGTATACATCAGACACCCCCATTCTCTGTTGTCCACACTCAGACACCCCCATTCTCTGTTGTCCACACTCAGACACCCCCATTCTCTGTTGTATACATCAGACACCCCAATTCTCTGTTGTATACATCAGACACCCCCTTTCTCTGTTGTCCACACTCAGACACCCCCATTCTCTGTTGTCCACACTCAGACACCCCCATTCTCTGTTGTATACACTCAGACACCCCCATTCTCTGTTGTATACATCAGACACCCCCATTCTCTGTTGTATACATCAGACACCCCCATTCTCTGTTGTATACATCAGACACCCCCATTCTCTGTTGTATACATCAGACACCCCCATTCTCTGTTGTATACATCAGACACCCCCATTCTCTGTTGTATACATCAGACACCCCCATTCTCTGTTGTATACATCAGACACCCCCATTCTCTGTTGTCCAAACTCAGACACCCCCATTCTCTGTTGTCCACACTCAGACACACCCATTCTCTGTTGTATACATCAGACACCCCCATTCTCTGTTGTCCACACTCAGACACCCCCATTCTCTGTTGTCCACACTCAGACACACCCATTCTCTGTTGTATACATCAGACACCCCCATTCTCTATTGTATACATCAGACACCCCCATTCTCTGTTGTCCACACTCAGACACACCCATTCTCTGTTGTATACATCAGACACCCCCATTCTCTGTTGTATACATCAGACACCCCCATTCTCTGTTGTATACATCAGACACCCCCATTCTCTGTTGTCCACACTCACAGACACCCCCATTCTCTGTTGTCCAAACTCAGACACCCCCATTCTCTGTTGTCCAAACTCAGACACCCCCATTCTCTGTTGTCCAAACTCAGACACCCCCATTCTCTGTTGTCCAAACTCAGACACCCCCATTCTCTGTTGTCCAAACTCAGACACCCCCATTCTCTGTTGTCCACACTCAGACACCCCCATTCTCTGTTGTCCACACTCACAGACACCCCCATTCTCTGTTGTCCACACTCACAGACACCCCCATTCTCTGTTGTCCACACTCAGACACCCCCATTCTCTGTTGTCCACACTCAGACACCCCCATTCTCTGTTGTATACATCAGACACCCCCATTCTCTGTTGTCCACACTCAGACACCCCCATTCTCTGTTGTCCACACTCAGACACCCCCATTCTCTGTTGTCCACACTCACAGACACCCCCTCTTTTTCTTGCACAAACACACACAAAACTCATGACACAGTGTATAGTATAATAAATGTATATTTTCATAATATAATTTATAAAATATGGTCAGTATTTTCCAGAAGTGCCTGGTACAAGGTAACAAGTATATACACAAGGGAGGAATTAACATACCAGTTACAACAAGTAATCTTCATATATAATAACAATTATTAACAAATATATTGTATGCCAGTTTGTATTACAATAGAAATGTGACAAAAGTATCACTTTCAGCCTGACTTTCTGTCAGTATTTTTTATTGAGAAGCTCTCTTCACTTCTACACCAGACAAGAGTTTTCAAGACAACTCAAACATTAGAGCCACATCCTGAAGACTCACTTCAAACTTCCATGTTCTAGGAGTGACAATCAGTTGTCAAGTCTTCCCTCAAACATCCATGGTCTGTGGCGTGGGTTGTCATGTGTGTTCCCTGTCTCCTAGTCATGTTTCAAACACATGATCCTGTAAGACATCAAGCAAACTGCCCAACACCACCCTAGACCTGTCTCCTAGTCATGTTTTAAACACATGATCCTCCAAGACATCAAGCTGCCCAACACCACTCTAGACCTGTCTCCTAGTCATGTTTTAAACACATGATCCTCTAAGACATCAAGCAAACTGCCCAACACCACTCTAGACCTGTCTCCTAGTCATGTTTTAAACACATGATCCTCTAAGACATCAAGCAAACTGCCCAACACCACTCTAGACCTGTCTCCTAGTCATGTTTTAAACACATGATCCTCCAAGACATCAAGCAAACTGCCCAACACCACTCTAGATCTGTCTCCTAGTCATGTTTTAAACACATGATCCTCCAAGACATCAAGCAAACTGCCCAACACCACTCTAGATCTGTCTCCTAGTCATGTTTTAAACACATGATCCTCCAAGACATCAAGCAAACTGCCCAACACCACTCTAGATCTGTCTCCTAGTCATGTTTTAAACACATGATCCTCCAAGACATCAAGCAAACTGCCCAACACCACCCTAGACCTGTCTCCTAGTCATGTTTTAAACACATGATCCTCTAAGACATCAAGCAAACTGCCCAACACCACCCTTGACCTGTCTCCTAGTCATGTTTTAAACACATGATCCTACAAGACATCAAGCAAACTGCCCAACACCACTCTAGATCTGTCTCCTAGTCATGTTTTAAACACATGATCCTCCAAGACATCAAGCAAACTGCCCAACACCACTCTAGATCTGTCTCCTAGTCATGTTTCAAACACATGATCCTCCATGACATCAAGCAAACTGCCCAACACCACTCTAGATCTGTCTCCTAGTCATGTTTTAAACACATGATCCTACAAGACATCAAGCAAACTGCCCTACACCACTCTAGATCTGTCTCCCTCTAATAATGTAAACAAAAAAATCAGGGTAAAGGATCCCTTTTCACATCTTCAGGCGTATTGGGCATATAGGGCTAGACCTATATTTTACAGACCAACTGACACTTGGTGGGCGATGTGTCAGCATCATGTCAGCCATCTTTACTTCCCAGAACTGCATCTAATACCCATTCAAGGCTGGGTCAACCTGGGAGTCAGGGGTACCATTCAAGGCTGGGTCAACCTGGGAGTCAAGGGTACCCATTCAAGGCTGGGTCAACCTGGGAGTCAAGGGTACCCATTCAAGGCTGGGTCAACCTGGGAGTCAAGGGTACCCATTCAAGGCTGGGTCAACCTGGGAGTCAAGGGTACCCATTCAAGGCTGGGTCAACCTGGGAGTCAAGGGTACCCATTCAAGGCTGGGTCAACCTGGGAGTCAAGGGTACCCATTCAAGGCTGGGTCAACCTGGGAGTCAAGGGTACCCATTCAAGGCTGGGTCAACCTGGGAGTCAAGGGTACCCATTCAAGGCTGGGTCAACCTGGGAGTCAAGGGTACCCATTCAAGGCTGGGTCAACCTGGGAGTCAAGGGTACCCATTCAAGGCTGGGTCAACCTGGGAGTCAAGGATACCTATTTAAGGCTGGGTCAACCTGGAAGTCAAGGGTACCCATTCAAGGCTGGGTCAACCAGGGAGTCAAGGGTACCCATTCAAGGCTGGGTCAACCTGGGAGTCAAGGGTACCCATTCAAGGCTGGGTCAACCTGGGAGTCAAGGGTACCCATTCAAGGCTGGGTCAACCTGGGAGTCAAGGGTACCCATTCAAGGCTGGGTCAACCTGGGAGTCAAGGGTACCCATTCAAGGCTGGGTCAACCTGGGAGTCAAGGGTACCCATTCAAGGCTGGGTCAACCTGGGAGTCAAGGGCATTGTTTTAAAGAAAACCTGGTTCTGTCAGGAACTGAACCCATGACCTTCGGATGGGCAGGTCAACATCTAGCCGCTACTGTCCTTATGTACTCAAACAGTTTTAATCTATTCACAGCTGAGTGAAAGAATGTAAACTGTCTCTTCAGGTCGGAGGAACCAATTCCATTTGTGAGTTAATTTTTTTTCAAGATGGCTAAAATTCTATTTGCAAGTTCATTTCTTTCAAAAACGGCTAACATTCTATTTGTGAATTCATTTCTTTCAAGACGGCTAAAATTCTATTTGTGAGTTCATTTCTTTCAAGACGTCTAACATTCTATTTTTTAATTAATTTCTTTCAAGACAGCTAAAATTCTATTTGTGAGTTCATTTCTTTCAAGACGGCTAAAATTCTATTTGTGAGTTCATTTCTTTCAAGACGGCTAAAATTCTATTTGTGAATTCATTTCTTTCAAGACGGCTAAAATTCTATTTGTGAGTTCATTTCTTTCAAGACGGCTAACATTCTATTTGTGAATTAATTTCTTTCAAGACAGCTAAAATTCTATTTGAAGTTCATTTCTTTTAAGATAGCTAAGGTTCTATTAGTGAGTTCATTTCTTTTAAGATAGCTAAAATTCTATTTGTGAGTCCATTTCTTTCAAGAACTGTTTATTTCACTTTTTAATCTGCTCATCACATCCTCATTATCTGTACAACTTCCCTGGAACTAATCGCTAAAGGGGCTGACTGCTCATGATTCACTTCCGTACATCGGGAATGGCTCTATAAAGCTCTGAAGAAAAGAACTCTCTGGCTAACCCCAGCTGACCTTCCTGTTTTGCATAGATTATATAAACGACATACAAAAACCAATGATAAAGACATCGAGCAACTGCTCCAGTCACACAATTTCACAGCAGCTGCCCAAAGGTAAAAATAACATTAACAATAAAATCACAAGTTTATGACTTCGGCAAGGGATCAAATATATACAGCGTTCAATACAACAAATACTTTCCCAGATTGCTGTATTCTCAATAAGGCTTGAATGTTTGGTTGTTTCCTAATGTGTATGTACTCTGTTTAGGGCAATGTAGGACAGCCGGTCTTATCTGTGTTTTCTATACTGTGGACTTAACATTACAGGGTTTTAATGTGCAGCACCAGATACATTTAAACATGTCTTTCCTCCCCCGTGATCCTGTGGTATTACTAAACTCTGTGGTACTGAGTTCAGAGACAAAAATGACATCATTTAACCAAACAGCTTGACGAAGCAAGGATGGCAATAAGGCTTGTCGTTCTGTTCCTTGAATGTTCCCTTGTTGAGCTGTTTCAGACAGAAGGCACAGACAAAGTGCTCCGGGTGGAACTTGCGGAACATGGCAGTGATACAGCGGCCAGTGATAGGCCTCTCACAGCTGGCACACAGGGAGCCCTTCTTGGCGTGGTAGTGTGTTTCGCAGTAGGGAAGGCCTTCGTAATCAAAGAAGCTTCCAGCTCCAAATGGGTTCTGACACTCCTTTAATAACAATAACAATGTATTAGATATATATTATTATGTAAGATAATTATTCTTAGCTAAAATATATATTACATAAGATACAAATTATTATGTATTGCTGACTACAGGGACGTGACATTCCTGGAATTACAGTAACAATATGTTAGATACATATGATGTGTCGGCGTCTGTGGCTTAGGTGTTGCTAACGCACTTTGTAATACCGGGTTCGATCCCAGCTACAGGCCTGTGCCTTGCGTTGGTTTCAACAAGGGTATCAAGAAGCCGACCGTCCAGGAAGCAATGGCAAACAACTGGATGTAAATTTGCCTAGAAAAAACACAACAGCCAAAAATGCTAAGGTTGGTTCTGCAACGTCCTGTAAAGAATATGCAACTAACTTTGTATTGTTGTTGTTTGTCCATCACAACTGATCATGACCACTCTTTCTTTCATCTGTCATAAAACTTCAACTGACTGACTGTGAGTTCAGATATGACCTATAAGCCTAATACGGACCCCAAGGACTGTGAGTCCAGATATGACCTATAAGCCTAATACGGACCCCAAGGACTGTGAGTCCAGATATGACCTATAAGCCTAATACGGATCCCAAGGACTATGAGTCCAGATATTACCTTACAGCAATGATAATAGTAAACACAAGGACAAATATATGACAAAAACAACAGCAATGATAATAGTAAACACGAGGACAAATATATGACAACAACAACAGCAATGATAATAGTAAACACAAGGACAAATATATGACAACAACAACAGCAATGATAATAGTAAACACAAGGACAAATATATGGCAAAAACAACAGCAATGATAATAGTAAACACAAGGACAAATATATGACAACAACAACAGCAATGATAATAGTAAACACAAGGAAAAATATATGACAACAACAACAGCAATGATAATAGTAAACACAAGGACAAATATATGACAACAACAACAGCAATGATAATAGTAAACACAAGGAAAAATATATGACAACAACAACAGCAATGATAATAGTAAACACAAGGACAAATATATGACAAAAACAACAGCAATGATAATAGTAAACACAAGGACAAATATATGACAACAACAACAGCAATGATAATAGTAAACACAAGGACAAATATATGACAACAACAACAGCAATGATAATAGTAAACACAAGGAAAAATATATGACAACAGCAATGATAATAGTAAACACAAGGACAAATATATGACAACAACAACAGCAATGATAATAGTAAACACAAGGAAAAATATATGACAAAAACAACAGCAATGATAAGAGCAAACACAAGGACAAATATATGACAACAACAACAGCAATGATAAGAGTAAACACAAGGACAAATATATGACAACAACAACAGCAATGATAATAGTAAACACAAGGACAAATATATGACAACAACAACAGCAATGATAAGAGTAAACACAAGGACAAATATATGACAACAACAACAGCAATGATAAGAGTAAACACAAGGACAAATATATGACAACAACAACAGCAATGATAAGAGCAAACACAAGGACAAATATATGACAACAACAACAGCAATGATAAGAGTAAACACAAGGACAAATATATGACAACAACAACAGCAATGATAAGAGTAAACACAAGGACAAATATATGACAACAACAACAGCAATGATAAGAGCAAACACAAGGACAAATATATGACAACAACAACAGCAATGATAAGAGTAAATAAATGTCAGGATAAAAAAAAATCACAACATCAAAAAGCTTGCATGTGCACGCCCACACTAAAAAAAACCTGCCTGTTGTCAGAAGATCAATGACAGTCAGTACTCACCCAGCACAATGACAGTCAGTACTTACCCAGCACAATGACAGCCAGTACTCACCCAGCACAATGACAGTCAGTACTTACCCAGCACAATGACAGCCAGTACTTACCCAGCACAATGACAGTCAGTACTTACCCAGCACAATGACAGCCAGTACTCACCCAGCACAATGACAGTCAGTACTTACCCAGCACAATGACAGCCAGTACTCACCCAGCACAATGACAGTCAGTACTTACCCAGCACAATGACAGCCAGTACTTACCCAGCACAATGACAGCCAGTACTTACCCAGCACAATGACAGCCAGTACTCACCCAGCACAATGACAGCCAGTACTCACCCAGCACAATGACAGCCAGTACTCACCCAGCACAATGACAGCCAGTACTCACCCAGCACAATGACAGTCAGTACTCACCCAGCACAATGACAGCCAGTACTCACCCAGCACAATGACAGCCAGTACTTACCCAGCACAATGACAGTCAGTACTTACCCAGCACAATGACAGCCAGTACTCACCCAGCACAATGACAGCCAGTACTCACCCAGCACAATGACAGCCAGTACTCACCCAGCACAATGACAGCCAGTACTTATCCAGCACAATGACAGCCAGTACTCACCCAGCACAATGACAGCCAGTACTCACCCAGCACAATGACAGCCAGTACTTATCCAGCACAATGACAGCCAGTACTCACCCAGCACAATGACAGCCAGTACTTACCCAGCACAATGACAGTCAGTACTCACCCAGCACACAAAACATTCCGGGTGCCACTGCCTGTTGAGAGCAGAAATGTAATTCTCCATGATGGGCTGAGCACATCCTCCACACTTGGGGGCAAACATCTGGAAGTAGTCTTCCCTGAAACCACAACCAAGACAAGACAGGTGATTACTGTCTTACCTGAAATCACAACCAAGACAAAACAAGTGATTACTATCTTATCTGAAATTACAACCAAGATGATATAGGTGATTACTGTATTATCTGAAATCACAACCAAGACAAAACAGGTGATTACTGTCTAATCTGAAATCACAACCAAGACGATATGGACGATTATTGTCTTATCTGAAACCATAACCAAGACAAGAGATGTGATTACTGTCTTATTTGAAACCACAAACAAGACGATATAGGTGATTATTGTCTGATCTGAATTAAACCACAACCAAGACGATATAGGTGATTATTGTCTTATCTGAAACCATAAAAAAGACGATATCGGTGATTTAGTCCTTTATGAAACCATAACCAAGAAAAGAGAAGTGACTACTGTCTTATTTAAAACCACAACCAAGACATGACCGATGACTATTGTCTTCGGCTTGCTACATACCTCTCCCACAACCCCAATATTTCCCTCAGCATGTGCAGACAGCACTAGCTTCCCAGGTATTGTCTGGCTGTTTTCCATAAGAACAACAAACATGTCACTGTTGTGTTCTTTCTTCATTCCCATCCTGCAACTAGCCTGTCACTAATTATGGAAAAGTTCCATCCTAAAGAGGCGCAACTGGCCAAAATAATCAAAGAGGGATTCTCTCTCAAAGAGAAGGAAATAACAGAACTAATCTGACTATAATCATGGACGATTCCCTCTCAAAGAGAAGGAAATAATAGAACTAATCTGACTATAACCATATAAGGATTTCCTCCAAAGAGACAGATGTAATCTGACTATAACCATGGAAGGATTCCTTCTCAAATCAAAGAGACAGCACAACAGAACTAACCTTGTAAAGAAAGGGACAGCACACCACAGACAGAACTTACCTACAATAAGCTTTTCCATTCTTCTCATGAAAGTCCTCCTCCCCAAACGGGCGGCCACACTGAGCACAGAAGAAGTGTTCTGGATGCCACATCTTCTCCAATGCAGTGATACATTTCTGTCAGTCACATAGTGATACATTTCTGTCAGTCACATAGTGATACATTTCTGTCAGTCACATAGTGATACATTTCTGTCAGTCACACAGTGATACATTTCTGTCAGTCACATAGTGATACATTTCTGTCAGTCACATAGTGATACATTTCTGTCAGTCACATAGTGATACATTTCTGTCAGTCACATAGTGATACATTTCTGTCAGTCACATAGTGATACATTTCTGTCAGTCACACAGTGATACATTTCTGTCAGTCACATAGTGATACATTTCTGTCAGTCACATAGTGATACATTTCTGTCAGTCACATAGTGATACATTTCTGTCAGTCACACAGTGATACATTTCTGTCAGTCACATAGTGATACATTTCTGTCAGTCACATAGTGATACATTTCTGTCAGTCACATAGTGATACATTTCTGTCAGTCACATAGTGATACATTTCTGTCAGTCACACAGTGATACATTTCTGTCAGTCACATAGTGATACATTTCTGTCAGTCACATAGTGATACATTTCTGTCAGTCACACAGTGATACATTTCTGTCAGTCACATAGTGATACATTTCTGTCAGTCACATAGTGATACATTTCTGTCAGTCACATAGTGATACATTTCTGTCAGTCACATAGTGATACATTTCTGTCAGTCACACAGTGATACATTTCTGTCAGTCACATAGTGATACATTTCTGTCAGTCACACAGTGATACATTTCTGTCAGTCACACAGTGATACATTTCTGTCAGTCACATAGTGATACATTTCTGTCAGTCACACAGTGATACATTTCTGTCAGTCACATAGTGATACATTTCTGTCAGTCACACAGTGATACATTTCTGTCAGTCACACAGTGATACATTTCTGTCAGTCACATAGTGATACATTTCTGTCAGTCACACAGTGATACATTTCTGTCAGTCACATAGTGATACATTTCTGTCAGTCACACAGTGATACATTTCTGTCAGTCACATAGTGATACATTTCTGTCAGTCACACAGTGATACATTTCTGTCAGTCACACAGTGATACATTTCTGTCAGTCACATAGTGATACATTTCTGTCAGTCACACAGTGATACATTTCTGTCAGTCACACAGTGATACATTTCTGTCAGTCACATAGTGATACATTTCTGTCAGTCACATAGTGATACATTTCTGTCAGTCACATAGTGATACATTTCTGTCAGTCACATAGTGATACATTTCTGTCAGTCACATAGTGATACATTTCTGTCAGTCACATAGTGATACATTTCTGTCAGTCACATAGTGATACATTTCTGTCAGTCACATAGTGATACATTTCTGTCAGTCACATAGTGATACATTTCTGTCAGTCACATAGTGTTACATTTCTGTCAGTCACATAGTGATACATTTCTGTCAGTCACATAGTGATACATTTCTGTCAGTCACATAGTGATACATTTCTGTCAGTCACATAGTGATACATTTCTGTCAGTCACACAGTGATACATTTCTGTCAGTCACATAGTGATACATTTCTGTCAGTCACATAGTGATACATTTCTGTCAGTCACATAGTGATACATTTCTGTCAGTCACATAGTGATACATTTCTGTCAGTCACATAGTGATACATTTCTGTCAGTCACATAGTGATACATTTCTGTCAGTCACATAGTGATACATTTCTGTCAGTCACATAGTGATACATTTCTGTCAGTCACACAGTGATACATTTCTGTCAGTCACATAGTGATACATTTCTGTCAGTCACATAGTGATACATTTCTGTCAGTCACATAGTGATACATTTCTGTCAGTCACACAGTGATACATTTCTGTCAGTCACATAGTGATACATTTCTGTCAGTCACATAGTGATACATTTCTGTCAGTCACATAGTGATACATTTCTGTCAGTCACATGAGGGTGCAGATGGATCACATTGAAATATAAATACATTCTTTGTGTGGGTTCCAGGTCCCAATTGTGGTAGAAACAAGAACAGACCCACTGCCTCCCCAACTAAGCATGTCACAACAGTCGACTGATTGGGGGCTTCCTTGGAGCACACCTGCCTCAGGGGCAAGGAACCAACAGTCTGCATACAGAAAAGTCAGATCTGTAAAATGGATGTGCATGCAACTCTCAGGTTCTGGAACAAGAATAAAGTCCAGAAGTGGACGAACCACCAGAAATTTCCACCAGAGTTCACAGCCAAAGAACATGGAGAAAACAGATAATTGATATACAAATACTTTGAATATCAATGTTTCAACAAACGGATACGGGGACATGTCCTGGGAGGTAAAGGGACATCAGCCATGAAGGCCCATTAAACATCATATGTCTGAGGTGCCACCGGCACATCCAGGATCCTCTATCTTACATACATACATATGTGGATGGAAGAGGTTGTGGTTATCATATAACAAAGAGCAAGAGCAGGACATGAATGATACAGGTATTCGGGGTGCAATGACTCTCTGGGATCTGATCATGCAGCCTGCTCAGGCACATTGACAGACACTTCCACACAGCAGGTCTTAAACAGGAACAGACGTGGAGAATACTAACCAGTGATTCAAGATTACCTCAAGAACTGCATTCAATGAAACCACATATCGCAGCAGACATCACTGCTTTCATTTCAAACTGTCATAGCCAGGTTTCATCTCAGGAATGGGCTGGTGGCTCAACTGCATTCACATATCTCAAGACACATTCACCTTAGGCATTTAGAGCCACACAAGACCACTCTCTTAACAGATCAAAAAGAGGACTGAGCTTTTCTCATTTGCTGAAAGATTACACCACCTCTTCTCGTCCATTCAACTCTACTCACAATTATAGAGTATTTTTTATTTGGCACGCTTCAGACAAACTGCACACTTGCAAAGATCATAGACTCAATTAACCATGCATCGATTACAATTAAAAACTACCACCCATTGGGATTCTCATAACTAATTAGTAGTTGTCCTTATTCTAACAAAGGAGAAAATGGGTTGTTACAAGGGGAACAGGCAAATCAGAGAATGGGGGATGACCACAGATAGGCTCAGTGCCGAGACGAAGCCTGGTGAACACATGTGATGGTAACAATGATCCTGAAAGCCCATTCTTTTACTGTGGAAGACTTTCCTCAACCTCAGTCAGCCCTGGTGGTCACACCTGCAATCACAGTGGGCTGTCATTCCCAGGTCTCTCTCCTTCAGTACAATATTTCACTTTCATCTGGAAAGTTCAAACCTCTTGGTATTTTCTTGGAAGCTTATGGAGGCCTGATACTCCACAGGGAGATAACAAAGCAGAAGAGAAGAAGAAGAAACAAATGTCAGACGGTTGAGGCCAGTAGTTTACAGGTAGGAAAGAGGAGGAGCAGAAGGAAATCATAGATTGAGTTTCTTAAAGGTCTATACTTCACTGGAATATATAAAAAAAGAAGAGGAAAAGGGGAAGAAACTCACATCACAGGTTATTTCACCTGAGTGACCGACTTACATCAACAATCGGCCCGCTACAGTATGCACATCTCGGAGCAAACAGATGGTGGTAGTCCTTCTCACAGTATGCCAGGGAGTCTCGCTCGTAGAAGCTTCGGGTGCCCAGTGGCTCCTCGCAGTGGGCACAGACAAAGTGCTCCACATGCCAGGTTCTGCCCAAGGCAGCAATCACCTGAAATCACAATTTAATCTTATCAATTAAAATGAAACTGAACACAGCAAGCAATCACCTGTAATCATGATACAATCTATCCATAACATAAAAAAACAATTATGATACAATCTATCCAACATGAAAACAAACAAACAATTATTCTAGGATAACCTGATATACAATTTGGTGGGATAACCAGAGATACAACTTTGTGGGACAATCTGAGATACAATTTAGTGGGACAATTAGAGATACACTTGGTCAGACAACTAGAGATACACTTGGTGGGACAATCTGAGATACACTTGGTGGGACAATTAGAGATACACTTGATGGGACAACCAGAGATACACTTGGTGAGATAACCAGAGATACACTTGGTGAGACAATCAGAGAAACACTTGGTGGAACAATCTGAGATACACTTGGTGGGACAATTAGAGATACACTTGATGGGACAACCAGAGATACACTTGGTGAGACAAACCGAGATACACTTGGTGAGACAACCAGAGATACACTTTGTGGGACAACCAGAGATACACTTAGTGAGACAACCAGAAATACACTTGGTGAGACAACCAGAGATACACTTTGTGGGACAATCTGAGATAAACTTGGTGAGACAACCAGAGACACACTTGGTGAGACAACCAGAGATAGACTTGGTGAGATAACCAGAGATACACTTGGTGAGACAACCAGAGATACACTTGGTGAGACAACCAGAGATACACTTGGTGAGACAACCAGAGATACACTTGGAGAGACAACCAGAGATACACTTGGTGGGATAATCTGAGATACAATTTAGTGGGACAATTAGAGATACAATTTGGTGGGACAATTAGAGATACACTTGGTGAGACAACCAGAGATACACTTGGTGGGACAACCTGAGATACACTTGGTGAGACAAACCGAGATACACTTGGTGAGACAACCAGAGATACACTTTGTGGGACAATCTGAGATACACTTGGTGGGACAATCTGAGATACCATTTAGTGGGACAACCAGAGATACACTTTGTGGGACAATCTGAGATACACTTGGTGGGGCAATCTGAGATACCATTTAGTGGGACAATTAGAGATACAATTTGGTGGGACAATTAGAGATACACTTGGTAGGATAATCTAAGACACAATTTGGTGGGACAATTAGAGATACACTTGGTGGGACAATCTGAGATACAATTTGGTGGGACAATTAGAGATACATTTGGTGAGACAACCAGAGATACACTTTGTGGGACAATCTGAGATACACTTGGTGAGACAACCAGAGACACACTTGGTGAGACAACCAGAGATAGACTTGGTGAGATAACCAGAGATACACTTGGTGAGACAACCAGAGATACACTTGGTGAGACAACCAGAGATACACTTGGTGAGACAACCAGAGATACACTTGGAGAGACAACCAGAGATACACTTGGTGGGATAATCTGAGATACAATTTAGTGGGACAATTAGAGATACAATTTGGTGGGACAATTAGAGATACACTTGGTGAGACAACCAGAGATACACTTGGTGGGACAACCTGAGTTTCACTTGGTGAGACAAACCGAGATACACTTGGTGAGACAACCAGAGATACACTTTGTGGGACAATCTGAGATACACTTGGTGGGACAATCTGAGATACCATTTAGTGGGACAACCAGAGATACACTTTGTGGGACAATCTGAGATACACTTGGTGGGGCAATCTGAGATACCATTTAGTAGGACAATTAGAGATACAATTTGGTGGGACAATTAGAGATACACTTGGTAGGATAATCTAAGACACAATTTGGTGGGACAATTAGAGATACACTTGGTGGGACAATCTGAGATACAATTTGGTGGGACAATTAGAGATACATTTGGTGAGACAACCAGAGATACACTTCGTGGAACAATTTGAGGCAGAAAATACTTACCTGTCCCACTATGGGTTTCTGGCATGCAGCACACACTCCCTTCTGTTTGGTGCTGACTCCCTGTCGGTTCAAATCTGACTGCAAGTCTCCGAGCATGGTCTCCAGACCATTCTCTCGCTGAGCCTGTCAAACAAAAGGAAGAATCTCTCTCAGTGACCAGACTGATATCTCTAGGAAAGAAAACCTTTTAACACAGGACAGCAGATAATGGACAGATAATAAATAGCCAACTGGGAGAGGTTAGCATTATAAGACAGAATGAACAGGGAGATTTAGTCAAACATTTAAAGCATTATAATACACATGAAGATAGAGTGGGCAGAGAGATTTAGTAGCAAAATTAGAGAAAGTATTACAACACAAGATAGGCAGAGACATTTAGTAACAAAGTTTGAGAAAGAGTTATAATATACACAAAGATAGGATGGCCATATATATTAGGTAATAATATTAGAGAAAGTGTTACAACACACAGGCATATATAATAGCCAGATAGATTTAGCACCAAAATTAGAGAAAACATTATAACATACACAAAGAAAGGATAGGCAGATAGATTTAGTAACAAAATTAGAGAAAGCATTATAATACATAGGAAGATTTAGTAACAAAATTTGAGAAAACATTATAACATACACAAAGATAGGATAGGCAGATAGATTAAGTAACAAAATTAGAGAAAACATTATAATACATAGGAAGATTTAGTAACAAAATTAGAGAAAGCATTATAATACATAGGAAGATTTAGTAACAAAATTAGAGAAAGCCTTATAATACATAGGAAGATTTAGTAACAAAAATAGAGAAAGCATTATAATACATAGGAAGATTTAGTAACAAAATTAGAGAAAGCATTATAATACATAGGAAGATTTAGTAACAAAATTAGAGAAAACATTATAACGTACACAAAGATAAGATAGGCAGATAGATTAAGTAACAAAATTAGAGAAAGCATTATAGGAAGATCATAGGAAGATTTTGTAACAAAATTAGAGAAAACATTATAACATACACAAAGATAATATAGGCAGATAGATTTAGTAACAAAATTAGAGAAAGCATTATAATACATAGGAAGATTTAGTAACAAAATTAGAGAAGGCATTATAATACATAGAAAGATTTAGTAACAATATTAGAGAAAACATTATAACATACACAAAGATAAGATTGGCAGATAGATTTAGAAACAAAATTAGAGAAAGCATTATAATACATAGGAAGATTTAGTAACAATATTAGAGAAAACATTATAACATACACACAGATAGGATAGGCAGATAGATTTAGTAACAAAATTAGAGAAAGCATTATAATACATAGGAAGATTTAGTAACAATATTAGAGAAAACATTATAACATACACACAGATAGGATAGGCAGATAGATTTAGTAACAAAATTAGAGAAAGCATTTCAATACATAGGAAGATTTAGTCACAAAATTAGAGAAAGCATTACAATACATAGAAAGATTTAGTAACAAAATTAGAGAAAGCATTATAATACATAGTAAGATTTAGTAACAATATTAGAGAAAACATTATAATACATAGGAAGATTTAGTAACAATATTAGAGAAAACATTATAACATACACAAAGATAGGATAGGCAGATAGATTTAGTAACAATATTAGAGAAATCATTACAATACATAGGAAGATTTAGTAACAAAATTAGAGAAAGCATTACAATACATAGGAAGATTTAGTAACAAAATTAGAGAAAGCATTATAATGCATAGGAAGATTTAGTCACAAAATTAGAGAAAGCATTACAATACATAGGAAGATTTAGTAACAAAATTAGAGAAAGCATTATAATACATAGGAAGATTTAGTCACAAAATTAGAGAAAACATTACAATACATAGGAAGATTTAGTAATGAATTGTGCAGGACTTATTTACAGACAAACAGCACATTGATCATAAGAACAGCCACATTTCATGTACACTCAATCCTGAAAACTGGACAGTGAGAGAAAAATTAGAAATTCAAACCAAGTTTCTGGAGATGTGGAACAGGTTGTGTTTAACGGAAACAAAAACAATTAATGACAAAATTTCTAACAGAACAGTGATTAACAGTTGGACATTCAAAAAAAATTTTTGTTTGTTTGTTTTGGTCACATTAAAAGACACAAAAATGTTAGAAAAACCATCTTGTAGGGAGAGAAAAAAAATTAGGCCAAGTGAGCAAGAGGCAGGCAGCGATACAAGTATGAAAATAACAGAGAGAGGCAGATAAACAACTGTTTCAGAAAGTATACAAGCACTACCAAAGACAGGGCATGTTGGAGATTTATTGCAACCTTCATTTCAAGGATGATACCTGATTGCTTGACTGACTGAGGACAAGCAACTGTAATAATATAAGAAGACAGAATGGGCAGAAAGGTTTGGTAAACAAAAACTATAGAAATCTTTATAACTTTCAGAAAGAGAGAACTGACACTAATATCTAGTAACAATGTCATGAAAACTAGCATGTATCTGAACAGCATTGTGACAAGCTACATCAGTTGAAACAAAAACAAACAGAACCAGCAGAGGCCAGGATTGGTTGAAACAAAAACAAACAGAACCAGCAGAGGCCAGGATTGGTTGAAACAACAATAAACAGAACCAGCAGAAGCTAGGATTGGTTGAAACAACAATAAACAGAACCAGGAGAAGCTAGGATTGGTTGAAACAACAATAAACAGAACCAGCAGAAACAATTCAAGCCTAGAGCTAGTGAACCCACACTGGGAGTGTGGCCAAACCTGTTGTTGCACTGTCTGCTGGTGCTGTAGATGACTCTGCTGCTCCCCCTGGTGGAAGGTAGGGCCCAATTCACCAGGACTTGTGGGGCTTGAACTTGAAATGGACCTGCTCTTCAGCGGCTTGGCATAGGCCGGCTCATTAGGTCCAACAGTTCCGTCACCTTTGTTCTGTTACCATGGATGACAATACAGCATGCAATACAATTTTTGAATAATCATCATCATGTGTCATGACAAGAAATATGAGTGATAATCAGCGGACATGTTGTTCAGTCTGGGATCAGGTCTGTGTTCTTGCTCACCAGATACAATGCCGGTGCAGTAACTTAGTGGCAGGGACAATTACAGCTCCCAGGCTGCATATAAAGACATACCTTATACCGCAGGAAGACAGCAAGAGAGGTGTGCAGGAGGAAAAGAGAGAGATGAGAAGGGAGGGGAGAGAAACAGAGAAAAAAGAAATTGCAGGGAGAGAAAGGAAGTGAGACATACGAGGTAGGATGGAAGGATTGGAAGAAAAAGAGAATGGGGGGTGGGGACAAAGAGAAAGAAAGTGAGTGTGACAGGGAGGAAGGAATGAGGTAAGGAAGTAGGGAGAAAGGAAGAGTCACACCACAAAAGAGGAAAGGATGGGAAGGGGAGGGGGCAGAGAGAGAGAGAGAGAGAGAGAGAGAGAGAGAGAGAGAGAGAGAGAGAGAGGAGAGAGCTGTGCATCATTTAAATTCACTGACACAAGACATTTTGTCATTATGCGGCGGTCGAGGCAGGCTGGTTACACAGACTGCGGTTTGAGTCATTGCAAAACTCTCCTGTGTGTGCAGTTAACATCATATTCGTCTCAGGGCATGCAGGCTGCAGGCGTTGTTGGTAATTAAAGAGCTGATAGACTGGCAGGTGCTGCTTTAATTGGAAATGGCCGGCCCATGGATCACGCAGACATTGTCATTACCCTTAGAGAGATAGGAGGATTTCGGAAGCGACGTGTCCACATCACTGCTAAGAACACTCGAACTGGGAGTAAAGATCGGCACAGCCAAGCATGAGAAGCACACCGGACACACATAAAGTATTTTTAACCAACATAGGACTGGCACTATTAACTGCACGACACTGATGAATATGTTGAGAGGGGAATCTGAGCGCCTATGGGTGTGTCCTAAGTGCTATGAAGATAATCTAACTTATAACTCATTTCAGAAAAACCGGCAACCACTTCAGTCTGGATACGTTTCCGATGTCTTTCTCCCCAACAGTGATTTCAAACCAGCATTCTTGTCTCCAACAGCCATTTCTAAACTCCTATATCAATCTTGTTCTCTTTAAACTGCACTAGTGCACATGGGCACACACACTACTATCACGTAGTGATGTCCTGATGCAGTGCACAATATCTGTGTTCATCGAGGTAAATATTCAACATCACCACATCCAGGACAAGCCCATCTTACTTGGATCCATCTCCCTCCCCAAGAGGCAGCTAAAAGTCTCCATACAGATGGTGCCCGTTGTCAGGTGCACCACTGACTACATCATCATCATCTTATAGCAGGTCCTTCGCAGAATGTCGCTCTCATCACGGTCTGCCTGAAAGTAACTCGGTCTCCCGCCAGTTCTCCTGCTTTGTGTACTTCATGTTCAAGGAGTCACTTATATCCTGCCCCACCTTCGTGGTACCATGCCTTCTGGTATTATTTTTTTTTCTTTTTAATTTGCCATGGTACTTAATATGGCTTAAATATTTCAACTTCTGAGATAAGATGCTGTTAATTATTCAATCGTCCCTGATGTTCAGATCTTTAAAAATATCAGTATTTCTTTTCTTCTTTGTCCATGGTATTCAGAGAATCTGTCTCTAGCATTTCAGCTCAAAAGCTCCTGTTTTCTGTCTTCAGCACTGCAAGGAAGCATACATTTGTGTATCTGTAGTGTTCTGCTCATGTTTTTTTTTTTACAAAGACAGAACTAATATGTTACAGCATAGCTGATCAACCAAGCCAGCCCTTCTCACCTCTCTCATGTTCTTGTATAGTATTCTTTGATTTATGTTTGTGTTGATGAAGGCTCCATAGCTGCAACGTTCAGGTTTTGTTTGTGAAGCTTGCTGATATACTTTTTGTTCAGTTTTATATCTTTTTTTTTTAACATTTCTCCAGTCATGACCCCATTTTATAGAGGTAAACTGAACCACGACCCTATTCTGTAGAGGTAAAGTGACCCACGACCCCCACATTATAGAGGCAAACTGAACCGTGAACCCAAATATTAAAATAGGCTTTCTAACATTATAAATGAAAATACATCAAAACAGTCTTTCTGAGCAGGATTCGGTGACAGGAAGTTTGTTTTCCTATTTTCTATTTTATGTTGTACCACTGTCTGACAATCTCACAGGGCCAAAACGCAAGAACTGGAAACCTGTGTACTAGGCAATAGAGACAGGGCATATTGCCAATAATATGGACAGCCAAAGCAACTAACAATGTTTCATGGAAAAGCCAACAAAAGCCAAAGATGATATGCCCCCCTTAGAAAGAGTCTGTTGTTCATTGTGTGATGGCAAGAAAGACACTACAGAACACTCTGATGCAGTGACGCATGGCAGGGCCAGCTGGACAGAAATGGTGATAGAAGATCTCAGTGACACATGGCAGGGCCAGCTGGACAGAAATGGTGATAGAAGATCTCAGTGACGCATGGAAGGGCCAGCTGGAGAGAAATGGTGATAGAAGATCTCAGTGACGCATGGCAGGGCCAGCTGGACAGAAATGGTGATAGAAGATCTCAGTGACGCATAGCAGGGCCAGCTGGAGAGAAATGGTGATAGAAGATCTCAGTGACACATGGCAGGGCCAGCTGGACAGAAATGGTGATAGAAGATCTCAGTGACGCATGGCAGGGCCAGATGGACAGAAATGGTGATAGAAGATCTCAGTGACGCATGGCAGGGCCAGCTGGACAGAAATGGTGATAGAAGATCTCAGTGACGCATGGCAGGGCCAGCTGGACAGAAATGGTGATAGAAGATCTCAGTGACGCATGGCAGGGCCAGCTGGACAGAAATGGTGATAGAAGATCTCAGTGACGCATGGCAGGGCCAGATGGACAGAAATGGTGATAGAAGATCTCAGTGACGCATGGCAGGGCCAGCTGGACAGAAATGGTGATAGAAGATCTCAGTGACGCATGGCAGGGCCAGCTGGACAGAAATGGTGATAGAAGATCTCAGTGAAGCATGGCAGGGCCAGCTGGACAGAAATGGTGATAGAAGATCTCAGTGACACATGGCAGGGCCAGATGGACAGAAATGGTGATAGAAGATCTCAGTGACACATGGCAGGGCCAGCTGGACAGAAATGGTGATAGAAGATCTCAGTGAAGCATGGCAGGGCCAGATGGACAGAAATGGTGATAGAAGATCTCAGTGACACATGGCAGGGCCAGATGGACAGAAATGGTGATAGAAGATCTCAGTGCATGGCAGGGCCAGCTGGACAGAAATGGTGATAGAAGATCTCAGTGACGCATGGCAGGGCCAGCTGGACAGAAATGGTGATAGAAGATCTCAGATGCTGAATTCAGTGACACATGGCAGGGTTAGATGGACAGAAATGGTGATAGAAGATCTCAGATGCTGAATTGAGTGACGCATGGCAGGGCCAGCTGGACAGAAATGGTGATAGAAGATCTCAGATGCTGAATTCAGTGACACATGGCAGGGTTAGATGGACAGAAATGGTGATAGAAGATCTCAGATGCTGAATTCAGTGACGCATGGCAGGGCCAGCTGGACAGAAATGGTGATAGAAGATCTCAGATGCTGAATTCAGTGACACATGGCAGGGCTAGATGGACAGAAATGGTGATTGAAGATCTCAGATGTTGAATGCAGTGACACATGGCAGGGCCAGCTGGACAGAAATGGTGATAGAAGATCTCAGATGCTGAATTCAGTGACACATGGCAGGGTTAGATGGACAGAAATGGTGATAGAAGATCTCAGATGCTGAATTGAGTGACGCATGGCAGGGCCAGCTGGACAGAAATGGTGATAGAAGATCTCAGATGCTGAATTCAGTGACACATGGCAGGGTTAGATGGACAGAAATGGTGATAGAAGATCTCAGATGCTGAATTCAGTGACACATGGCAGGGCCAGATGGACAGAAATGGTGATAGAAGATCTCAGTGACACATGGCAGGGCCAGCTGGACAGAAATGGTGATAGAAGATCTCAGATGCTGAATTCAGTGACACATGGCAGGGCCAGATGGACAGAAATGGTGATAGAAGATCTCAGATGCTGAATTCAGTGACGCATGGCAGGGCTAGATGGACAGAAATGGTGATAGAAGATCTCAGTTGCTGAATTCAGTGACACATGGCAGGGCTAGATGGACAGAAATGGTGATAGAAGATCTCAGTTGCTGAATTCAGTGACACATGGCAGGGCTAGATGGACAGAAATGGTGATAGAAGATCTCAGATGCTGAATTCAGTGACACATGGCAGGGTTAGATGGACAGAAATGGTGATAGAAGATCTCAGATGCTGAATTCAGTGACACATGGCAGGGCTAGATGGACAGAAATGGTGATAGAAGATCTCAGATGCTGAATTCAGTGACACATGGCAGGGTTAGATGGACAGAAATGGTGATAGAAGATCTCAGATGCTGAATTCAGTGACACATGGCAGGGCTAGATGGACAGAAATGGTGATAGAAGATCTCAGATGCTGAATTCAGAGACACATGGCAGGGTTAGATGGACAGAAATGGTGATAGAAGATCTCAGATGCTGAATTCAGTGACACATGGCAGGGTTAGATGGACAGAAATGGTGATAGAAGATCTCAGATGCTGAATTCAGTGACACATGGCAGGGCTAGATGGAGAGAAATGGTGATAGAAGATCTCAGATGCTGAATTCAGTGACACATTGCAGGGCCAGGTGGACAGAAATGGTGATAGAAGGTCTTGGATGTTGGCTTCAGATGTGTCATGATCTGATCTGACCCAGAACATTTAGCACCAACAAAATTTGTGGACAGACATGCTGGCTTCTCTAGAAAGTCAAACTGAGCTTCTGTAGATGACAGATAAAAGAATGGGCCATATTTCATGGAAACAGAAACAATCAAATACAGATTTTCTGAAGATGCGGACAGACAAAAGAATGGGTTGTATACTATGGAAACAAAAATAAGAACCCAAGAGGTAGACAATACAAATCTGAGGAAAAATCAAGAAATGGACCAACAGCAGTATCAAAAAGTGTTCAACCAAGAGCCTGCTAGAGATCGACGGAAGCCACCCTTCATTGAGGAGACACACGATTGAGGAACGAACATTTGCACCATCTAGCATGGCAGCAGCTGATGATGAGTGTCAATAGATGCAGTTACAGAGCTGTAATAGGAACTCTTACCCTGAATTCCGACAGAGACATCATCAGCTCATCCAGCTCCTTGGTGGCAGACGAAGCTGTCTGTGGCTGGTGGTGCGATGATGTGGAGGAGGCAGATGATGAGGATGTAGCACGGTAGATGGGACCATCTGCACCGCTATGGTTCTGGGAATACCCAGTCGTCACCGAGTTCAGTTCTTGGTAGTGTGGATCCACAGGCAACCTGAAACCAACATAACTTATCTGTACAAAGAAACAACTTTTGGTTAAAAGATGTGCTGGAGACAGAAATAGAGAGACATTAGGTAAGACTATGACCCTCGTTAGTCGCAGTTCCAATCTCAAGCAGAAAGGTCATCCCACAAGGAAAGATTGACTTAGGAACGATGATTTCGGCAGAAGAGTCTGCACAGCACCAATTCGGAACTTTATAGGCAGACAAAAAATCAAATGGTTGGCCAAGTGACAAGATTGGCATCAGACAGGACACCACAGAGAGCAATGTTATACAGATACAGCTGTAACAGACAGGGCAACACACAGAGCAATGTAATACAGATACAACGGTAACAGACAGGTCACCACAGAGAGCGATGTTATACAGATACAGCTGTAACAGACAGGACACCACAGAGAGCAATGTTATACAGATACAGCGGTAACAGACAGGGCAACACAGAGAGCAATGTAATACAGATACAACGGTAACAGACAGGTCACCACAGAGAAGAATGTTATATAGATACAGCTGTAACAGACAGGTCACCACAGAGAGCAATGTTATACAGATACAGCGGTAACAGACAGGGCACCACAGAGAGCAATGTTATACAGATACAGCGGTAACAGACAGGTCACCACAGTGAGCAATGTTATACAGATACAGCAGTAAAAGACAGGGCAACACAGAGAGCAATGTTATACAGATACAGCGGTAACAGGCAGGTCACCACAGTGAGCAATGTTATATAGATACAGCGGTAACAGACAGGGCAACACAAAAAGCAATGTTATACAGATACAGCGGTAACAGACAGGGCACCACAGAGAGCAATGTTATACAGATACAGCGGTAACAGACAGGGCACCACAGAAAGCAATGTTATACAGATACAGCGGTAACAGACAGGTCACCACAGTGAGCAATGTTATACAGATACAGAGCGTTAACAGACAGGGCAACACAGAAAGCAATGTTATACAGATACAGCTGAAACAGACAGGGCACCACAGAGAGCAATGTTATACAGACACAGAGCGGTAACAGACAGGGCAACACAGAGAGCAATGTTATACAGATACAGCGGTAACAGACAGGGAACCACAGAGAGCAATGTTATACAGATACCGCGGTAACAGACAGGGTACCACAGAGAGTAATGTTATACAGATACAGCAGTAAAAGACAGGGCACCACAGAGAGCAATGTTATACAGATACAGCGGTAACAGACAGGTCACCACAGAGAGGAATGTTATACAGATCCAGCTGAAACAGACAGGGTACCACAGAGAGCAATGTTATACAGATACAGCGGTAAAAGACAGGGCACCACAGAGAGCAATGTTATACAGATACAGCGGTAACAGACAGGGCACCACAGAGAGCAATGTTATACAGATACAGCGGTAAAAGACAGGGCACCACAGAGAAGAATGTTATATAGATACAGCCGTAACAGACAGGGCACTACAGAGAGCAATGTTATACAGATACAGCGGTAACAGACAGGGCACCACAGAGAGCAATGTTATACAGATACAGCAGTAACAAACAGGGCACCACAGAGAAGAATGTTATATAGATACAGAGGTAACAGACAGGGCACCACAGAGAAGAATGTTATATAGATACAGCGGTAACAGAGGTCAACCACAAAAATATCAGAGACACTGAAAAGTAGTCAAAACAAAGGGCCTGTTCCAGGGATCTTTTTGCAAATTCTGCACACAAGAAAATAGCCCTCCAAACCTCTAAAAAAAAGGTTTCTACCTGCCACTTGGGGTGGAAATTATTGGAAGCTCACTACAACTTACCTTCACACACGCCTTTATGCACACACGTGCGTGCACACACACACAAACATGGGTGCAAACAATATATAAGAACAACTGAATCATCTGACAGAGATGGAAAGGTTTACACAGCAAGCATGTCCTCGTAACATATTGTTTTTCTTTTGTCTGCCTACTGCTTCTATGTGATATTCTGATATGTGCAGGTCTATCATCATCACTGTAGTTTCTCCCACAGCCAATGGACATACACACAGATCAGCTGTCTCCCACAGCCAATGGACATACACACAGATGTGCTGTCTCCCACAGCCATTGGGCATACACACAGATGTGCTGTCTCCCACAGCCAATGGGCATACACACAGATGTGCTGTCTCCCACAGGCATACACAATGATGTGCTCTCTCCCACAGGCATACACACAGATGTGCTGTCTCCCTCAGGCATACACACAGATGTGCTATCTCCCACAGGCAATGGGCATACACACAGATGAACTGTCTCCCATGGGCATACTCACAGATGTGCTGTTTCCCACAAGCATACACACAGATGTGCTGCCTTCTCCCACAGGCATACACACAGATGTGCTGTTTCCCACAGCCAATGGGCATACACACAGATCAGCTGTCTCCCACAGCTAATGGGCATACATACAGATGTGCTGTCTCCCACAGGCATACACAATGATGTGCTCTCTCCCACAGGCATACACACAGATGTGCTGTCTCCCACAGGCATACACACAGATGTGCTGTCTCCCACGGGCATACACACAGATGTGCTGTCTCCCACGGGCATACACACAGATCACACAGATGTGCTGTCTCCCACAGCTGATGCTCTAAGGCACAGATGCTGGCTGTTCCAGTAACCCAGTGATTTTCAACTAATTCCCCCCTCCCCCTCCCCTCACATCCCTTCAACTTAAAAAGTAAAAAAGTCAATTTAACAATCCAACCACACTTGACCCAAACCTACAGCCCATAACCCCCCCCCCCCCTCCCCTCCTTTCCTAACTGTGTGTCACACTGGTCACCTAACTTCAAAGGATCATCTGCTGAACAAAATGAATCTACCTGGCAAGCGGCGAACCCACACCTTCCAGCTGGTCTAGCAGATTGTCCACTGAGGTTCTCTGGGCAGGTTTGCTGGCAGGTTTAGGCGCTACAGGTGGAGGGTTCTTCCCCAGGGCTCCATTGACTACTGTCACTTCGCTGGCTGTGAACATGCAGAGAGTAAAACAAGAATGATAGTTAAGTCTGGTACAATGACAGTAAAACATGGTGCTGGTTAGGTCTAGTACAATGACAGTAAAACATGGTGCTGGTTAGGTCTAGTACAATGACAGTAAAACATGGTGCTGGTTAGGTCTAGTACAATGACAGTAAAACATGGTGCTGGTTAGGTCTGGTACAATGACATTAAAACATGGTGCTGGTTAGGTCTGGTACAATGACATTAAAACATGGTGCTGGTTAGGTCTGGTACAATGACATTAAAACATGGTGCTGGTTAAGTCTGGTACAATGACAGTAAAACATGGTGCTGGTTAGGTCTAGTACAATTACATTAAAACATGGTGCTGGTTAGGTCTGGTACAATGACATTAAAACATGGTGCTGGTTAGGTCTGGTACAATGACATTAAAACATGGTGCTGGTTAGGTCTGGTACAATGACATTAAAACATGGTGCTGGTTAGGTCTGGTACAATGACAGTAAAACATGGTGCTGGTTAGGTCTAGTACAATGACATTAAAACATGGTGCTGGTTAGGTCTAGTACAATGACAGTAAAACATGGTGCTGGTTAGGTCTAGTACAATGACAGTAAAACATGGTGCTGGTTAGGTCTGGTACAATGACATTAAAACATGGTGCTGGTTAGGTCTGGTACAATGACATTAAAACATGGTGCTGGTTAGGTCTGGTACAATGACATTAAAACATGGTGCTGGTTAAGTCTGGTACAATGACAGTAAAACATGGTGCTGGTTAGGTCTAGTACAATTACATTAAAACATGGTGCTGGTTAGGTCTGGTACAATGACATTAAAACATGGTGCTGGTTAGGTCTGGTACAATGACATTAAAACATGGTGCTGGTTAAGTCTGGTACAATGACAGTAAAACATGGTGCTGGTTGGGTCTGGTACAATGACAGTAAAACATGGTGCTGGTTAGGTCTAGTACAATGACATTAAAACATGGTGCTGGTTAGGTCTAGTACAATGACATTAAAACATGGTGCTGGTTAGGTCTAGTACAATGACAGTAAAACATGGTGCTGGTTAGGTCTGGTACAATGAAAGTAAAACATGGTGCTGGTTGGGTCTGGTAAAATGACAGTAAAACAGGGTGCCAGTAAAGATTGGTAAAATATTAGTAAAATGGGGTAGGAATCAACAGTTTGGTAAAATGGGGTGATCGTTTGGTAAAATGTTAGTTCATCAGGTTCTTTTTCTTTGTTTGCCGGCTGTAAGCTCTGGCGGAAAGTCCTGACTGTTTGCATGTACATCTGTTTTACTTGCTTTTTTGTGTGCATTGGTTGTCCCATGCCGGCTGGGGCAGACGCACTCCTGACTTCAAAGGAAGCCCCCCATGAGTCTACTCCTACGACATGCTTGTGGGGAGGCAGCGGGTCTGTTCTGGATCTCCACACAATGGGGCCTTGAAACTCACAGGGGGATAAAATTTTCCAGGTTGTGATGCTTGCTAATGATGACAGAAAACTCATGTACTGAGTTATCACTGCTGCACATTAGCAGAGAGGAATGGAACCAGCCCCATCCACCAGTGTGTCTACATGTAAGCAAGCATGCAATATCACATCACACTACATCACATCCCACAACACCATACAAACATCACACACAAGCAAACCACTGAGGAAAGCAAAATGACCTTCCCAGATTGTCCACAAATTAGGAAACACACGCGTACATACAATCCCAGATTGTCCACAAAATAGGAAACACACGCATATATACAATCCCAGATTGTCCCCAAAATAGGAAACACACACGTACATACAATCCCAGATTGTCCCCATCGTATGAGAAAACAAAACCAAAAGGAAACACATACGCATACATACACTATCCATGATGTTACTGGGAATATTTACTGAGGGATAAAACAAGTTTTGAGGTGGTGCTTCTTTATATTGTACCTCAATTTAACTAGCACAACCGTGAAGATGGTTGCGCCTAGCAATGCCAGAGACGGGTCAGCAGCACCTACACTAGATAATGAACCCCCGATAGGTGTTATGGCTGACTATTCCGATGTCAGCAAAGATGAATGACTGTACACACAAACCCCAAAGCTGATGCCAACATTTCCAGACATTCACTGCGGAACTCATTTTTAAAACGCCCTGTTTAAATTCGTGAGCCAGAATGATTTTTGGCTCTAAGTGCACATAACATCAGGGAGTGAAACATTACAGGTTTCATGAGTGATTCTCAAGATATTGAGATTATAGGGGCAGAATTTTTTCTTGGTCAAATTCTTTAAGTGGTCCAACTATACGCCACTGATGCATCAATACAGACAAGCGTGTCCTCTGAGATTGAATTCCAGTGAAATGTGACTAAAAAGCTCAACGAAACGGGGAAGCAGAAAAACATGCACAAAACAACATTTTGGCTGGTAGCCTTTCTAAAATAAGTAAAAAAACTACACAACGGTAACAAAGAGGAGAGTATTCAAATCTTTAAGGGGGTGACATGAGCAACCGTTTACAAAATGTAATGTGGAGTCAATGAAATTAAACAAAAGCTCAAGACTAAGTACTTATCAGTACCATTTATGTATCATTAACATTTTTTATTTCTATGACTTTTTGATTTCTAACATTATATTACGTATTATTATTTGTATTTCTATGACTTTTTGATTTCTAACATCATATTACGTATTATTATTTGTATTTCTATGACTTTTTGATTTCTAACATCATATTACGTATTATTATTTGTATTTCTATGATTTTTTTATGCATACTATTAAATTATTTATTACCATTTTTATTTCTATGACATGTTTTTATTCCTACTATTATATTATATATTAACTTTTGTATTTCTATGATTTTTTTATGCATACTATTAAATTATTTATTACCATTTTTATTTCTATGACATGTTTTTATTCCTACTATTATATTATATATTAACTTTTGTATTTCTATGACTTTTTTATTCCTACTATTATATTATATATTAACATTTGTATTTTTATGACTTGTTTTTATTCCTACTATTATATTATATATTAACATTTGTATTTCTATGACTTTTTTATTCCTACTATTATATTATATATTAACATTTGTATTTCTATGACTTGTTTTTATTCCTACTATTATATTATGTATTAGCTTTTGTATTTCTATGATTTTTATTCCTACTATTATATTATTTATTAACATTTGTATTTCTATGATTTTTTTTATTCCTACTATATTATGTATTAACATTTGTATTTCTATGACCTTTTTATTCCTACTATTATATTATATATTAACATTTGTATTTCTATGGGGGGGGGGGGGGGGGGAAATCTCCTGTTGGTTTTAATGCATGGTTTTCATTATTATTATTACTATACCTGGTATATCACAACAAGACACTGTCCCCAATGAATGTGTACTCAAGAGAGCAGGAATGCAAACAATGTACTTTCTACTGAAGCCAAGATGCCTGTATGGCTTGGACATGATGGACGGTCACATTCCAAAGGATCACCTGTATGGTGAACTGGTCACAGGGATAAGACCTGTAGGAAGGTCAATGCTATGTATGCTATAAGGACATATACAAACATGACCTGAAAGGTGTCAATACTGCCAGAGACACCTGGGAGAGATCAGCTGCAGATCAATCCCTTTAGAAGGAGACAGTGAAATATGGACTGTAAACACAGCAAGCTATAGAGAGGATACGTCTGAGAGAAAACCAGCCTCAGAACTATGGAGTATCAAAATTTTTATGTAGGCCATGTGGCATAGCTGCCACTCCTACGCTGGACTTCACAGTTACATAGGACATTGCTCACAAAACCAACAAGGCAACTCAATGTCTGAATCGTATCTCTAAGACCGTTGTTGAAGTTTGTTTGTGATCACAGCTGTAAACCTTGGCAGAAAGTTTGTTTGTGATCACAGCTGCAAACCCTGGCAGAAAGTTTGTTTGTGATCACAGCTGTAAACCCTGGCAGAAAGTTTGTTTGTGATCACAGCTGTAAACCCTGGCAGAAAGTTTGTTTGTGATCACAGCTGAAAACCATGGCAGAAAGTTTGTTTGTGATCACAGCTGTAAACCCTGGCAGAAAGTTTGTTTGTGATCACAGCTGTAAACCCTGGCAGAAAGTTTGTTTGTGATCACAGCTGTAAACCCTGGCAGAAAGTTTGTTTGTGATCACAGCTGTAAACCCTGGCAGAAAGTTTGTTTGTGATCACAGCTGTAAACCCTGGCAGAAAGTTTGTTTGTGATCACAGCTGTAAACCCTGGCAGAAAGTTTGTTTGTGATCACAGCTGTAAACCCTGGCAGAAAGTTTGTTTGTGATCACAGCTGTAAACCCTGGCAGAAAGACCTGGTTTCTGGACTTTGGCTTTGTTCCAGGACCCGAGTTTTGCATTTGCACCCATTTTACAGATCATGCTTATTTGTGTGCAGACTGCTGGTTCCTTGCCTCTCAGGCAGATGCACTCTACATTGAAGGAACCCCCCCCCCCCCCCCCCTAATGAGTTGAATCTCTTATGACATGCTTGTGGGGGGAGGGAGGGGGGGGGTCAATGAACCCAGGGAATCCTTCATTCTCTATCATATTATTTATGGCTAATGGTTTCCTAGCCAGTATGACACAAAGCAGTTAAAAGTCCCCCATCACTACTCACGTTATTCAGTCTAATCACGATATGTAGATATGGGGGCACACCATAACACCCAACCACAAATAAAACCCTGTGACTGCCTATAGACATATTCTTGCTATAAAAATTACAAACACAGAATGTACCTACCTTGGCCACTCTTGCGGTCAACTTCAGCCATGAACTGGGCAGAATTGAGGTCTTGCAACAGCTGATCCAGCTCGGAAAGGTTGCTGCTAAGGGCGGACATCCTCTCTCCTCGGTCTCTGCCACTTCTGACCTGTTGTACAGCCCCTCTATCGCTGGTGTCAGATAAGGATGATGATGGTGTGGCTTCTCTTATATGGAATGTCTGTTGTTCATATATTGGTTGCTGCAAGAGAACAACAAAACCCATTCCAGATTTTTTATTATTCTTCTAATTTGTCTCTGATAAAGTATTCATAAAATGTTCCACCAAACCGGAGAGTTACCGTTTTTGTGGACAGGGGGACCAAGGTTTGTGGACAGGGGAACCAAGGGTTGTGGACAGGGGGACCAAGGTTTGGAGACAGAAAGAAGGATCAAAGTTTGTGGACATAAAGGGGGACCAAGGTTTGTGGACAGACAGGGGAACCAAGGTTTGTGGACAGACAGGGGGACCAAGGTTTGTGGACATAAAGGGGGACCAAGGTTTGTGGACAGAGGGACCAAGGTTTGGGGACATTCATACTAGCCATGATTCGAACCACAAAACCCACTGAGTGCTGACTGGTCTAGTTTCAGTTCAAACACAATTAGACTCGATATGACTTACTGTGTAAAGAGAGGTCACTTACTTCATTACCTGTCCTCTACTGAATAAGTTGGAGCTTGCACTGTGTCGCACAGAAGCAAGGTTAACCCGGCTGCTCAGTGAAAGCTGTTGGTGATGACATGAAGTCTATGAAAAGTGACCATCAGGCCTATGTAGCAACTCTGCTACTGGCTGGAACTACATACGCTGTAGGCATGGCAGATAGGCATGGTGGGTAGGCATGGCGGGTATGATTAATTACACCGAAACAACAATATTGTGAGATATTATTGCAGGTGAAAAGATCGAGGGTGGGTGGGGGGTTAATTGTTATATCACTACTTCATGTTAACCTCATAATCACATGTTGCTGCCCATGGCTAAGTCAACAGAACTCCTGTTTTCATGGTCAAAGGGAAGGAAAGTGGTTAATTATCTGTTCTATGTGTATTTAGTGATTAATTCCCGTACAAGGTAGCTATAGATTTCACAATTGTCTTTCTGCTTGGTGGTCCAGGGGTTAGACGGCCAGGATGTTTATAAAAATTGTCAAGACTAAATTTCTTCTTCTTCTCTAGTGTCTCAGGTTAGAGTTTTAGAGAATTATAAAGATGCGCTTTAATTTTAATACATTTTGACAATTGTCATTTTTTACAGATTATTACAAGGCAAAAATGTAAAACTGAATAGGAAAAGAGAAAAGGAAGAGAATAAGATCCTTGAGCTGTTTCAACATGGTGAGGAAGGAAAAATAAAAGCACACTGATCCATTCTGTTGAATACAACTAGATGAGGAGAAGAAATGAACATCTAAGCTAACAAGCAAGGCACAGGATGAAGATGACTCAGGATAACACTGTTCTCACCTCAAAGTCTCTGTCAAAGTCTATGATGTCTAACGGTGGAGGAGGTAGAGGAGGTGGTGTGGAACTCCCAGAATTTCCACCACTAGAATGGTAGCCTTCCCCAAAGGATGTGATCTCAGGCCGGTGAAAACTTTCAGTAGAATTCTCCTCAGTTGAATAACGGAGGTTTTCTTGAGCCCAGGAGTTCTCTGCTGGGTACTTTACACTGGAATGGAAGCTGTGCTGCTGGAAGGTAGGATCCAGGTCAGTTGTGGAAGAACCAAGCCGCTGGTTGTTGTAGTTCTGGTTGTGTCCAACATGGATCAAGCTCTGGGCTGGCTGCTGGAAGGTAGGATCCAGGTCAGTTGTGGAAGAACCAAGCCGCTGGTTGTTGTAGTTCTGGTTGTGTCCAACATGGATCGAGCTCTGGGCTGGCTGCTGGAAGTCTTGGACTGGGCAGGGATCGTTGTGGAGGTGATGAAACTGTTGCCCTGGGTAATACTGCTCCTGGTTTGGCTGAGAAGGATATTGCTGGACTTTCTGGTAGCATGAGATGTTCGCTGTGGTGTTCTGCAGGTCCGCAAGAAGTGCGTCTACAGACACAAAGCAAAATCATAATCAGCATCACAACAAACAAACATTGAGAACACCAAAAAATATGTTGCCAGATTTACTGTCAGGAATACTTTCCTATCTCACATAAGTAGAGATGTGAATATAATAATGTAATGATGCAGACATAAATGAATCCTTTCAACCCAAATACTAAACTCACAAAGTGACAAATCTCACTGCAGAAACCTAAGATTGACCTTGTGGAGCTTATGTTTACACACTGTGGGCTTGCTCATTATAACTGCAACAACATGTCCACACATTCACAAGTTCAGTCTGTGATCAATAACCTCCTGTATGACAGAAACCTGACATGGAATTTAGAAGAAGATATGTTCTGGAAGTATCTGACTGTTTCCTTTTGACTTTATGTGTGTGTGTGTGTGTGTGTGTGTGTGTGTGTGTGTGTGTGTGTGTGTGTGTTGAAAGCAATAAAAGTAACTAAATTATAAATCATCATGTTATTTCACATTATAAAATTTTAATGTTTAAGCAAGTATAGAAATTATGTATAAAACAACTAACTGCCATATAATAATCGTATTCTTAATGGATGAGTTAACAGTACATTCCACACACACCACTAAAAATAAGGACAATAATGCCTTACTGGTTGTTGCACTGTAACACAAGAGACCACTGCAACACAAGACACCAGTGTAACACAAACACCACTGTAAAACAAACACCACAGCACTATAACACACCACAGCGCTGTAACACACCACAGCACTGTAATACACCACACCTCTGTAACACATCACAGCACTGTAATACACCATATCACTCAAATCACTGTAACACAAAACACCACTGTAATACACCACTGTAACACACCACAGCACTGTAATACACCACACCACTGTAACACAAAACACCACTGTAACACACCACAGTGCTGTAACACACCACAGAACTGTAACACACCACATCGCCGTAATACATAACACCACTGTAACACACCACAGTGCTGTAACACACCACAGCAGTGTAACACACCACAGCGCTGTAATACAAAACACCACAGCACTGTAACACACCACAGCGCTGTAATACAAAACACCACTGTAACAAACACCCCACAGCAGTGTAACACAAAACACCACTGTAACACACCACAGCAGGGTAACACAAAACACCACTGTAACACAAAACGCAACTATAACACACAACACCGCTGTAACATACTTACTACAGAACTGTAACATACCACAGAAATGTAACATACCACAGCGCTATCACATACCACAACACTGTAACATACCACAGCGCTGTAACAAACCACAAAAAAACATACTACAGCGCTGTAACAAACCACTTTAAAACTAACTACAGCACTGTAAAACAACACTATAAAACAAACTATAGCACTATAACATATCACTTTAAAACACGCTACAGCACTGTAACATACCACTATAAAACCAACTACAGCACTGTAACATACCACTATAAAACCAACTACAGCACTGTAGCATACGACTATAAAACTAACTACAGCACTGAAACAAACCAAAAGGGTCGCAAATCCCGACAGAGACCAGGATTAGCTATTTCCTGTACTGCCACACACATATAACACACAACAGGGCGCCGCCAGCAACACACCGGCAGTGGTACATTCCTGGTCTACGACACACTATAGACTAGACACCAGCTCACCGCCACTCCCAGCCTAAAGCTAGACAGACCATAGACAGATAGATCAGATATGATCTGCCCTAACCACACGACCCAGCGCAGCTGATTAACACATCCCCCATAAGGTAGCGGGGTCTGGATTTGGTTAGGGTTTTCCCCCCTAGTCCGGGTGTGGGCCACAGATTATATTACAAACAGCCTGTTGACTCTGAACTGCACTCGTCCGTCGTTAAATACGTTAACCATTTGCCTTGATTTCACAGGCTGGGTTCGGTTCTCGAGTGCAGCTTTCATGACGAAAGTAGGGGGTAGTCGCTGGAGTACCGAGATCGTGCTTTGTGTAACAACAGATTAGCCACTCTGCGGTGATAGGTGAAGGCATTTAGGATCAAACATAGAGCAATGAAGTCGACGCTCTTGATGTAGTACCGAAAGTGGAAAAGGAGGGGGGGGGGCATTAAAACACCACAACGTGTTGGAGATAACAGGAACGAAAGGTATCGTTCTTGGTAGAAAGTCCAGCATGGCCGTGGACACGTGATACGAGGACAGCCTGGGCACCAAGGTTCGCTGGCCGACTGGGTGGCCGTGATGATCTGGTAGTTAAGCTATCGACTGCATTAAGCAATACAGAAAAGACAGATGGGTTATGTGGTAAACATCACGCCGGTCGTCTTTACTTCCGAGGACTTATCTAACAATACGATGTTGAAGTGTAATACAGGGTCCTTTTCTTTTTGTTCACCCCATCTCGGGGACTGATATTTAGTGGGAAGGTCCAATAGTATAGGGGTGTTAGGGTGTGAAATGAACCCCCCCCCCCCCCCTACTCCCGGGGGGCCAATGCTAGACTTTCCATGGAACTCCCCAAGAAATCTTGGAGTCCCTGAGATAGGTGAACAAAAAGGAAATTACCCAATTCACCGAATGATTAAGAGGGAAAAGAAGAATGACGATGAACTGGCGCTCTAACTAGTGTCGCCGCGGAAACAGGCGGTTAAAACTGCATGCATACCTCACACCTGAACCGTCAATAAATAGGCACACACACATATTTGAATCAGAAAAATACACCCCCGCACACAAACACAGCAAGTCTGTGTGGAGTGGGTCGCGCTGATTCAACTCCACAGTGACTATGCCCTATGCAGCAGACGGCAAAAACGCCTACGGAGAACCAGCGCGGCTGTCTCACAGCCGTGGCAAACCTGCACAAAGGTGCAAACAGAGCTGCGCTAAACTTCACTAAACGACACGAATGACCCACAGTTATGAAGTGCGATATATCAGGCACCCGGATCTACACACATCTGGTTATGTCAGAGTAAAGTGTAATGAGCCAGCGAACCAAATATCTGGCAATGTACCCAACGCGTGTGGGAAGAAGCATGGACAGAGCTGTACGGACTGGGCTAGTGGATAACGACGAACCTCTGACACTAAAACGACTGCATGACACGGGAGTAAAGCAAGGTAAAGCACATCTATGCTGCCGTCGAGATGGAAGACGTAACCAACCTCTCACGGGAACAATTAGTAGGAGGGGACTGAGTGCGCACGGGAATGCCCAATGTGCAGTGACGTCGACTGTGATGTTGGGCAGATCTCTCTTCCCAGAACAGGCAGACTTTGCGTCAACTCTGGAGACCCCCCACCAAACCTGTCTAGTATATTAGCCCTCTTAGTTTCAGCGACTCATAGCACTATAGGTGACCCCTGGCTGCTATAGCCGTTACGGGTGACCCTAATTATAATTTCTCTGAAAAGTGAAATATTTTTCAAAACATCTAGATTTTCAGGAAGTCTCTGCTTCAATAATGAGATCCGGAAATCTTGACAGCGTTTTCCTAATTTGTTCTCTTCATTAACAGTCCTTTTGTTTTTAAATCATCAATCTTTGATTAGATTTAATATCCAATGTGTGGCTTAGGAGCCAAATAGCTCTCTATAGTGCAAGTGAGCAAATCAGCTTTAGAAGTTGGCAACACCAGTCTTTTACCGAGTGAAATAGCAAGGTGAGATCATAAAGTAATTTAACTTTATCAACAAGTTTAGATTCGAACAGTTTATTAACTTTTTGCATTCATTAGAATAGGTTATAAAAAGAGAATGAATGACAAACTTTTTTTTATCAATGTACATTCCATATAGTTTTTCAGCTGTGTAGCACTTTTCACTTTGTCATGTTATTTCAAAGTGTGTCTTCAACTTCAGCCATTGCTTCGTAATTCTTTCAACAGCTGGTTAAATTGATAACCATCTAGTTTTGCAATCTGACAGTATTTTGGTGGTGTGGAACCATCATTCAAGGCTGTATATAATGTATTGTATTGCTGTTGTCTGACAAATGATTTGGAAAACCAGTAAAGTGTTTCAGCAATAAGGTATTCCAAATTCCTTGGTAAATATTTAGATGAAGCATGTGATAATGCTAGCTGCAATGAAGGACGCATACATTTTTTAAGTATTAACGATGGGTTAGCTTCCTTCAACTTGGCATAAACGCCATTGTTTATACCAACCATCACTAAGGCATTATCAGTACCAATTACAGCCACATTCTTCAAGCCTAACTGTTTGCTGATTAAAAGGTCCTTCAGTTCCTAAACTATACTTTCTACATCACACTTTTCAAATTGAACTAGTCTAAGATTTTTTTACAAATCGATCAAATGGTCACAGTTTGAAATTGCACAGTGACAAATTAAAAACATTGCGACTGATACTTCAACTTTTGATGATTCATTTATCAGTATAGTTCTGAAAACAGATGTCAGCGGTGTAATATCTTTAAATAAAACTGCAATTTTATGCTTTTTTAGTCTCTGCATGATTCTTTGAGTTTTGTATTTTCGCTTTAATTTCACACTTGCAGTACTTACAACAAGCTTTGGTCATATCCCCAGTTTTTAATCTTGTCATCATGCAACCACTCTTTCCAAATTTGTTGCTCATACTTTACTTTTGGCATGTTGAAAGGTTTTTTTCAAGTGAAAGCCACATAAGAAGGTGAGCAATTTTTTTTTTTAAATCATATGAAAAAGAAACGCAAAGTCAGCACAGTTAGGATATGGTTGAAACAAAGTTAGTATGATTTACACGCGTTTTTATTAATCCGTACCGGGGCTGCCAGATATTTGTTCGTTGACCCCAGTGAGAGTTCAAAGTTCAAGTAATGGCAATTGTCACAATGTACATGGAAGACCAAAACAAAAATATTGTAGTAAATATTTTACACAGTAATTATTAAATTGACAATAAAAGAAAACAAAATCTATAAAATATCTAACTCCATATGAAAGCATCTAGAAAAATATTTACGATCTAAACGTCAAAA